ATAATTTCTGTAAATACTATTATATTAATTTAAAAAATGCTAAATTTGATGTAAAATTGATGTAATTGATGTAATTTAATATAATTTGATTGGTTATTTTTCATGTGACGCTTATTATTTTAATTGGATGATCAATTTCAGAAATTTTCAGCAATTATGAAAATTTGTATAACAATAGATATTCCCTCCTGTTATACTATGCTTATTACTTTATTGTGTGCCCTAATTTACATCGGCACGTGTTAGATTAGTCTGAGAAGAGCTTCGAAGCACTCTACTATTTGTTAAAGCTTCAGGTGGAATTATATTAGTCTGCAGTACTTTATCATTTGTCAAAGCTTCAGGTGGAATTATATTAGTCCGAGCACTCCTTTGAATCGGTAAAGCTTCAGGTGAAATTATATTAGTTCGAAAAGTACTCTGAAGTACTTTACTATTCGGTGAAGCTTCAGGTAGACTATTGCTTGGAGAGCACACCCTTATGGTGACTCTTCAAATGTTCCTGATGATACTTTACGATTCTTATTTAACAAAAATAATGTTATATATAACATTATATTCAAAATAATAATGATAATAAAAATACCTTGAATTTAATAACTGTTTCTAATATTTTTGGAACTCTTAGCAGGCATTTATTTGTTGTTGGTAGAATAAAGTCGGTATGATTTTTAACTACAAGCTCATCATTAATGTAATTCATGCTTAAGAAATTAAAAATTTTCCCTATTTGATTGATTGAACCAATTAATTATTATTAAGAACAAGTACAAAGCTCATATCTATAATTACCATGAACTAGTATAGCAAAAGCTAAAAATTGCAAGACCTCATTATATAGATATGTATGTTGGTTCCACAATAACAATGACATGGCTAATTGTACAAATACAACTGGTAAGCGTTTATTTGAACTAAATAGTAGATGATAATAATATATACCTTTATATAATTTCTCTAAGTCAATATTTCTATTCGTTATGTCATTATTAAAGGCATTTCCTACTACCTCAAGAAAACTGATTTGATATTTTTTGCCATATATTATCATGTTAATTACACCATCATGTTTCATTCCAAGTTTTGATCGCTTATTGTCTTTCTTGGTATCATTTCTTGTATTTCATTCTCAATTTCTCCAATTTCAAGCCATACAGAACGTTCAATCATTTCAAATATTCCCACAAGCAAAGGATTTATAATTTCTGAATGATAGCAATGTTCAGAGGCCTCATTATTAAATAGAGGGCCTCTACTGCGTAAAAGCTGACAAATTCTAGCATGAAAATATAAATATAACATAATCGCTTAACATATATAAATATATATAGGACATATATAAAAACTTACAAATTTGTAATTGTTCTCTAACACCAAATTAATTCAGTATCATGTCTATAAGAGAAGTCACTAAAGGGAGGTTTACTGAATACTGTAATAAGCATTTCATGATCGACATCTGACATTTCATCAAAATGGTTTACAATTGCCTCATAATACTCATCTAGAAGTTTTTTAGCTCTAGCTACTTCCCATCCTTCTTCAATTGTTTTTTGGATATTAACTTCAACCTAGTTAATAATTATAAATCAATAACTTATAATTACCCAATTTATCTAATCTAAAAACTATATTACCTTTTCCTATTCATTCTCCAATATTTTTATTTGATCAGGAAACATGTTGTAAAGTTCTTTTGTATACAGAAATTGTCTATCGAACAAAAAAACCACCTTGTATGTAGTAGCCAAACAATTCTTCAGGTTTTCTAGTATACTCGACTTGTCCTTATAAAATAATATTTCCTATTTATTCAAGATTTAACTTTAATATTAATAATATGATGTATGCTATAAATTACCTTATTAGATAAACTTAAAATGCTAGTAATAGTCTCCTCTAAGTTATCTTGAATATTTTCATCTTCGCTATCAGAAAAATGAGTATCATTATCATCACTAAAATCTCTTTGACTATTATTGTTATAAAGGCTCATAATTTTGTTTTCTTGATGAGTTATAGACTTATCAAAAATATCGACCAAGAGTAAATTGACCTTTCATTTGATTCCAATTTATTAACAAAACAAATATGTTGTCAGTTGATTATCCACAAATAAAAATCATATATAGTTTTCTTGCCCGTTTATTCTTAATCAGAATTGAACCTTGCATATTATCAATCTTCTGCCAGAAGCCTTTATCCATTTTTTCATCTTTAAACTACAACAAAATAGATATGGTAAGAGATATATTCATAAAGTAATTACAGTGTAGAACAATGGAAAGTGAGAAACTACACGGCACTTAAGCCACCCCATACTCCGTGTTATAGCACGAGAACCTCGCCAAAGCTCTTTCAAATCGCCCTACACTTGAGACGTGAGGGGATATATTAACATTAAAGAACGTGCCTCATGCTCTATGAACACACAGTATTCTTACAGGAGAAATCCACCCGCTAGAGTTCCCGTGTCCCTTGCAGAAGAACATCACTCGCACTTTTTTATATTATACATAACCTTTTTGATAAACTTTTCATCATATTTCAATTCTCGCACAATTAATATAAATTGTTTCTTCAACTGGGAGTTTTGGGTTAACTATGGTTCATAATTTGATTGTTTGGCCAATAACACTTTGTTTTTATGCAAAAAATTGGTATAAGATGCTTTTGCAGGGCGCGTTATCTTGAGATATGCTTTTATTTCTATCAATAATAAAGTTGCTAAAAAAAAAAATAGATAAAAAAGCCAAACTTCAAATGCTAAGTTGAATTCTACCTTTCTTGAAAGACATTTTCTTAAAATAAACAACGTGTTTCTGTCTATTTACGAAATCGATTTGTTTATTTTATTTATATGCCTAAGATCAACGGCACGTGACTAATCAGTGTTTGATTGGATGTTTTACTCAGTGTTTATTTTCACAGGGTGCACGCTTTATTTGGGTTTTTATATAGAATACCAGGTATAATACTGTATAATACTGTATAATACGGTATTACCAATATTTTGCTTCTATATAGTTTTGTGTCCTCAAATAAAACAATTTAATTGACCAAATTGGTTTCAATTATGGTATTATACATATACCCCCTGTGTATAATACTAGTATTATATGGGTATTATACCAATTGTATAATACGGTATAAAGTATCTTAAAAACCCTAGCCGCACATGCGCATACTGTGAAAATAAATACTGGTTTTACTATGTTATCTGTAGCTTTGCTAAGACTATTTTATTTTTAAATAACGATAATGGAAGTTAAAAAATTAAATCCTGTAAGGTTAAAATGATTAGCTTTTACTAAAGCTATAAATGAAAGTTTCGATCATAATCAATATTTACGTTGTGTGTATTGCTTTCTCAATTCAGTTCTAGCTAAAGCCTATTAATTGTGACCAATTATATAAAAGATTCTAGGATTATTCTTATCCATAAGGCTGTTTGAAATTGTAATTTTATTTAACATTCCTTTTTGAAGCTTAAGCGAGTGGGGGAGAGGTATCAATTTAAACAAACATTATGTTATATCGCAAAAATAATCACATTATTATTGGTTGGTTTGTAAGCACGTGCCTTATTGGGATTTCAAGGCATAATGAATATTCTGATTGGCCTGTTTAATTTTAGAGGGGGGATCCTTGAGGTGAAGGGGGGGAGAATGTTAAACGAAATTTTAATTTCAAACAGCCTAATCCATTATCCATTCATTAAAAATTGGATATCCATCTTTAGGGATCGAAACACTACTACATTACAGTATCTATGTATAATATAATATACAAATCTAAAACTAAATTGTGTATCAAAAATAATTGCCATTCAAAGTTAATTTTTTGGTTCTCACAAAATTTTAAAATGGCCTAGCAAACAGGCTTAATTTTATTTTCAAAAAATTTTGTATATAAAAAACATACAGTATAAAAATTTTTTATAGCCATCTAAAAAAAACCCCCACCCAGGTTCAAAATTAGCTTTTTTTTTACCCGATTTGACTTTATTAGAAGGATCAAAATATAGCTATATCAAAGCTAGTACATGCATACTAGTAGCAGACGCCATTGTTCGAAATTAGAAAGTGTTTTAAAAACAGATTGGTGGGTTATTGTTTTAAATAATTTTTTTTATTTTTATTTTTAAAAGGAAATGAAGAAGATTAATACTATAAGCTTAATATATTTATAAGTAAGTAAAATTTCTTACATTTATGTATTAATTTATTGATTTTTTTGTATACATAAAATGCATAGAACTATCACATATAAAATGAAATTTATGTAGATAATCAAACTACGTATCATAAAAACTTCTTTACTAGTAACCACATATAAGATTAATAATGATCATGCATATAAAGAGATCAAGCAGGCATAACAACTATGCATAAAGATTAAGCATTTATTTAAAAATTTATAAACTTAAGTATATAGATTACTTTTAGTATACGTATATAGAATAAATTAGTAATCTCGATTCGAATACATACAATAATATAATTAGCTTATAAAAAACTTATATCATATACACAAATGTGTAAATTTTTGTTTTTGTTACATAAGCATGAATAAATAAATATGTGGCATTATAGATGAAAAATGCAACAATTGTGTTTTGATATTTTTATTATAGTTATATCAAAAACCTAATTTTGGTCATCAAATGTTGTAGAAATATAAGTTTGTTGCTTCACTTTGAAAATTCTGAGTTCTATATTTGATACCGGTTTGGTTTCAGATCCACATAATACAGTTCCGGGTTTTTATTAGAACCTGATATTAACCTAATATTATGTTTTTAACAATACCTGGTCTGTGCGAAACATTATCTAGTATGCATGAAAAAATTTTTTTGTTAAAAAGATCGATTTACTTGTCTAAAATTTAATTTTTGCAAAGAAGTTTGCTATTTACCACACTTGTGATATGTCCTCAAAAATGTACTAAGTAAATGGAATCGGGTATTCTAAGTAAAAATATTCAAAACTTTACAAGAACTAAAATCAGAATCTTATATCCAATTTATATTTTATAGCACAGCCACTATTGATTATGAGTATTACACCATTTGTATTATAAATCACTTCTTTTTATTTCATTCATGCTTGTTATTTTGCATGATGCATACGTTATCCATACTTACTGTATTTGCTCGTAATAACGTGCAGGGTGTAGTTTTGAATTTCGGCCTAAATTAAGCTTAACTCGGGCCGTGACTCAAAATAACACTATACAAATTAAAGAAGTTTAAAAAAAAACCAATATAGCATGATAATTCTGAGATACATCACACTAGTACAGCGATAATTTTTTTGATTATTCAGAAAATACCGCGAAGCGGCATTCTCTGATTAAAAAAATTATCACTGTACTAACGTGATGTTATCTTATATTATCATACTACTGTACTATATTATATAAAAAAAAAATATTAATTCCTAACTCTAACCCTAGAAATTCTTAAGACTGGTGATATGTAGTAATTTTCTTTTGCAAAACGAACGTTTGTTTACGTTTCACTTGATCAGGGCCGATGATTTTCTGCATTTCACGGAATCAAGTCCTAAACACGGAATGCATCATGGAATTGTCATAGGGTTTATAATTTTTTTTATAAGTATGCAAAAATTTCCAGTGTAGAAAATAAATGAACCTAAAATACGAGCATGGTCAATGTTAAGCTTGATATCCGATATTATCCAAAGAATAAACAATTCACTTATTGCAGAGTTCATAAATTTTAATGCACGAAATTTTTACGAATGGAATTGGGGGTTGTCTAAAGTAGTGCGGAATCACATGACACACAACCAATCAAATTATGGAATTTTGATGAAGCAAAACAAGAAAAAAAAAGCGAAAAACTTGAAAATACAAAAAATAGCAGTCTAAACCTACCTTGGGTAAGCTAAGTAAAAATGTCGGGAAGGCAATTTTGCTTATATATAACTATCTTAAGCCTGTTCTAACCATAATCAAAGATGACCATAACCCTAAAGTTAATTCGATAAAATATATATTATAAGAATCTACTCCGCTTTAGACGTACCCCGGAATTGGCGATTTATCATCATCGGCCCTGCACCTGATCCTGATTTTTGATTGCGTCGGAAAATCATGTGATCGGAAAATCGATCCTACGCGTTTACGTTCCAGTGGTAAAATTCTTTCACAGAGAATTTTCACTGGAACAACTGGAAGGATGGAAGAGTCTGAAATTCCAGTGGCGTTCCAGAATTCCAGTGACAACGCTGAGGATGCTATAGCAGAAATTATACTGAAGCAAGAAAAGATTCACGCGTCCGAATATCGTGCAGAAAGTAACTATTTTGTTATACAATTTATTATTCTTATACTTTCATTTAATCTTTTGTTGACTATTAAATAGCTAGACGTATTAAAAATATTTTACATGCTTTCGGAATATCCAAGGATGATTTTTCCAAGAATGGCGTTCAGTCAGTCAAAATATTGGCGACTTTAGCTACAATTTTAGAATTGGGTGATATTGAACGAAGCAGGTAAACTTTCGCTACTATAATTCGAATAATCTTCAGATTAATAATTTAACCTCTTTAAATCGGTAAAATTTATAGCTTCCTTTCAGCAATAGCGCAGTTGAGCATAGATTCATCCCATATTGAACGGCAAAATAGGGACACTTTACGTACTATTAATTCCTTGGAAATTTCTACACAAGAGGCTAAACTAAGATATCATAAACTAAGAGAGTTCGTATTACCTTTGTTTAAATAAATTATCAAATAATTCTAAATACTTTTTTTTCTTTTTTTTTTCCACATTTAATACTATTATTATCCAGAATTTTGACAAATCTACGAAGGAATTGGGACACAAAAGAAGATCAGAAACTTAAGGAATGGAAGCGTAATACTACTTTGTTAGATCAAAAAGCCAAAGAATATCAGCTAAAATTATCTCGATTAGAGGTAACTACATACATTACTACAATATTAAGAAAAATTTTCTAATAAATTGTTTTACACAGAGACAATATGCTGCGATGAATATTGAAGGTGGTGGATTACGATTTCAAGATTTGAAGAGCAAAGAAGAGCAAATTGAGGCCTTGGAAAAGTCAGTAAAAGATAAAACTAAAAAGTTGAAAGTTTATCAAATCTTGCCCCCGGTATCTTTTTTTTTTTTTTTTTTTTTGTTATAAGAATCTTTGCCAGTTCTTAATACTATGATATATTTTTTTATTAAGGACGTAGTCTTGGCTAAATTACAATTAGACGTGGCTCAACAAAAACTGGTTTGTACTTACATCATATACATTATGCCTATTCTGATTGTTTAGTAGTAATTGTAATATTAAAATAGGCCGAGTTGACTGAGACACGTGATGAACTTCTTAAGCAAATGGCTATCAACCTTCAACAGTAGTATATTACATATATATATTACATTTGTAAATCAAGTATAAAAATACTAAATAAACTTTTTATAATTCTCTAAACTATAAGGCAATTTCAGGCAAATTTGTTTAGAAAATTGCTATAAATTTTTTATTTTTTATTTTTTGGCAATTCTGCCTTTATTGTATAAGGAATGTGTAATCTAAATACATAAGTTTTTAGCTAATGCCAACAACTCTTTCTTCTTTTCAATAAAAGCTCACTTGGCTGCTTAGAGGTGCCCAGATGTGATTTGCCACAGCAACTTTTTTTCTCCTTTCTAGCTTTTAACTTGCTGAAAAATTATTTATTAGATCTTTGGATAGTAGTTGCTAGCCTTGTTAGAATTGTGTTTAAGTTTTGAAACCATGTAGTCTATAAAGTCCTGATCACTTTGGTTTGATGTTAGTTGTAATTACTTTCCTAATTTTTTTCTTTGTCTTCTTCCACAATTTTTGATCTGCTTTTTTTGCTGAAATTCTTTTAACTTTTGCCTTTTGGGTTTTTCTCTTCTTGGTTTTTTTGTATGTTAGATTGCTTTTCTCATCCCGCTTTCTTTTTTGTAAGTTTGTAATATCTTTGCCTTGCTCCTACTCATTTATAGCTTCACATCTTAGATACCAGATCACCTCTTGAAAGTATTTTCGTAGCTTGTAGTTGTAAATCATCTGGAGCTCCCTTAGTAGCCTGTTCTTATTTTTAAGCTCTCAGAAGATCTCTTTAATATAGTTAACTCTATTTTTATATTTAGTCTCTTGGATATTTCCTATTATTTTTTTTTTTGTAATGCTACATATCTTTCTTTTCTTTTCTTTCTGTTCTTTTTTTAACTTTTCTTTTTAGCATCCTCGAATGATTCACTCTCTATTCTGCTTTACAATTTCTCATATATTTCGTATGAGGCTAAGTGATCTAGATCTTCTTTTTCTCGAAAACATGCGATGCAAAAATCAAACAAATAGAGGTTTGAATTTCTTCTGTGAAGTATCTTCAAAGTTGGCAGCAACCTGTTTATACACTTTATTTTAAAAACCCAACTATAGCTATCTTTTAAGCTTCTGCATCTATGTCCTGCCTCTTTTCTTCGCATTCCCTATATTTTCCTCCAGTCTAACCACTTCTCTTCTGTACTACTTCTAATTAGACTATTTATACATTTGCTATTTATTCAACTTATACTATAATACATTTTCGTTATGTTATCTATCATTTTTCTAATAGGTATATCAATAATATAACCATCCCACCTTGGTAGCACCTTCACTATTTTGAACCATTCTACCCTAAAGCTACAACACTCTTTAGTGCTGTTTCTTTCTTTTGCTAGCTTATCAGCTGCTTTATTTAATTTAACTTCACTATGACCTTTCACCTTTATAAAACTAATATTAATATCTTTTATCTCAACTAAATTTATCATTATTGTAATGATACTCCTGTCTTTGAGCTTAGTAGTTTTTGTGCCGTTTGGGCTAGCTTTAACCTTTTCAATAATACTAATTGTATTTGTACTATTTGTAAAGATCTATACTCTGCATTTGTTCGGTACTACTAATAATACTAGCCCTATAGTGCCTATTTCTGCTCTTGTTGAAAAAGGCCAATTTTTTATTGCATTTAAGAAATGTTCTAGTACTGCTTCTAAATCCTTTTTGGCTACAACTCAGCCTATACCCATTTTTCTCGGCTCTTCACTTCTACTATTCCTATCTAAAAAGCTATTTGTAAAGATGTCTAATTCTGCATATCTGGCCAGTTTTTGCAGTGACTTCTGGGTTTTCTCTCTATATATCTGCTCTACAATATATTTGTCAATTAGATCTTCTTCTAAGTTTTTGATATTACTGTAGAGCTTGACAATGAGATAGATATATCTGTTTGTATATTAGTTCTTTTGCTAATATTTGCTAGTAGTACCTCGCACAAGATTTTGTTTTCTCCCTGCTTTTTAATGCAGTTTTTCTTTAATGCTCTTTGTTTATTTTTTAAGTTCAAATCTATCTTGCATTCATTAAGCTTTTGCATATTATATAAACTACAGCCTTGATATTTGTCATAAATGTCTATATTTTCTTTCTTTCTTCTTCAATATGTTATTTCTATCTTTTGTTTACTTTTACTTTTTTTAACTACTTGGCCCAAATCTGTTGTACCCTTTTCATTTGCCAGTACAACCCATTCCGCTTTTCTTTTATCTTCAGATATATGTTGAAATAAGGGCAATAAAGCTACTTGATTTTCTTTTCCGTATCTGTATCTTGTATACACCTCTCTTGTTGTTTGGTTATTAATTACCATACTCTCTATGCTGTTAAACCATGAGAGCTTTTTTTCTTTGCCCTTGTTTCCTCTTAAAAATTTTACTTGGCACCAAGTTAAAAGTGTCGAACTCTTTTCTTCAAGCAATTGCTTTATGAATATAATATTGTTTAATTTGCTTTTTATATACTATTTTCTTTCAATTTCGCTTAATACAAACCAGATCTCTGTTCCTTCATCTAAATATATAATCTTTGCCACTTCATTGCATTCCAGTTCTATGTCTAATTTTTTGGTTTTTTTAACTATATTTGCATTAAAATTGTACTTTATTTTTGCCTTATTTAGCCGTTAAGTAGACCACTCAATTATATACCTGCTACTTCTATTATTAACCTGTGTCTGTCTTAGTTTGATCCAGGTTATATTTTCTATCAACTTTATACTATTTAGTCTCTTAACTAAACTAAAAACTTGTTGCGCCAACTTTGCTTACTACAAGCTCTTAGCTTCTACTAAATTCAGGTGCATAATGATACTGTTTGTTATAGTACTTGCTAAATCTGTTTTTCGCTTGAATAAGTTGAGAAAGGGTCTATGAATTCTGTCACAGGCTTGCTTGCTTATCATTTGGCATTTTAGTCGGTACTCTTATCTTGGTAATAAAACCTATTGTTTATGTATTGCAAGTGTTTAATAATATCCTTTTTTTTCTTAGAATTCTTACTAATCCAGTGACCTCTCTTTCTATTAGACCTGTTCCACAATTTTTCTCTGAGATTCACACATCTAAGAATTTGGCTGCTTCATCATTTCTTTTTGCTTTTATCTCTACTTCACTTTTACTAATAATACTACAGTCTTTGCCTTCTTGGCTTATGTCTCTATTAATTACAATAAGCTCTGATTTCTTTTCATTTATCTTAATATTGTTTAGTTTATAGAATTCATTAGCTTTCTTTAAGATTTCTGACAACTCTGCTTTGGACTTTGCAATCCATGTTGTGTCATCAGCATATGCCACAACAGCTTGTCTCTGTTTTATCCAAGTAATCTCTCTTTTTTTTAAATCTGTAGGCCATGGCACTACTGCCTCATATCTCCAGTCTTTAATTCTTTGCACCTCGCACAAAAGCAAATCATAAAAAATACGCTATATTAAGAGGGACAGCACCTCCCCCTAGTTTATCTCATCTTTTGCCTTAATTACTTTAGTGCTCTTATATGCCGTTATCACTTCTAATTCTCTATATTTATACAGGCTAATAATATAATTTTGTATATTTGCTATAAAGATGGACAAAATGCAATATTTTCATTTTAGTATGTGTATTTTTGTATGCATGCATGTTTTGGCCAAAGTTATAATAATGCTGGCCAGAATTAATTGCATGTATGCAGCAATCATACGCATAGTGTCAATCTCTAGTTTGTTAGCATCTTAATTCTTTTAAGGACTAACTCTAGCGATTTCATGCTTATAGAGTCAAATACCTTTTGTATATCCTGTAATAGGATCCACAGCTCTTGTTTTTTTTTTCTATATCTCTTCTACAATACAGCTCAGGATGTGTATAGGATCTTTTGTGTTTTTCTCTATAAAACCCACGTAGTTTGGACCTTTGAGTATACTGTGTTTTTTAAGGACCTATTCTAGCCTTTTTATTATCACTCTACTTAGAACTTTCTGAACATTCTCTAGTAGAATAATAGAACGTATATTGTTTAACTCATAGTTCCAGTCTTCTTTTTTAGGAATCGGATATAGAACTCCAATTTTTCATTTTAGCAGAATGTTTTCAGTTTTTATATACTTTGAAAAGAGCCTTGTACAAGCTTCTTTTGTTTTTGTACTGATGTTTTTAAAAATTAAGTATGTGATGCTCGACAGGTCTGAGGCAGAGTTATTTCATGTTTTTTGTAGAGCTTTATTCTAATCTTCTACTGTTATTTTATTTGACACCTCTTTGTACTATTCTTTATCTATATTCTCTATGGGCCTATATTGCTCTTTCCAAAATATACTTAATAACTCTCTATCTATGTTTCTCTTTCTAAATTGCTTCTTAAAAAAAGATTCTACTCTTCTTATAACTTCTATTTTACTATTAACTAAGAAGATATTATCTTCTGTTTCCTCAAATACTCTATCTAGTTTGATTCTCTGGTATAGTTTTTCGAGTATACTATTTAATATACTTTTTTGATTTGAGAAGATATTCTCACATCTTTCTTCTATTTTCTTTCTAATACTATGCTTTTCTTCTTCCGCTAATTTCATCTTGCTCCATATTTTTTTTGTAGTCTTTGCAACTTGCTCTAGTTGTTTGTAAGTGTCCTGTGACTATGTGTGACTTCACTTGACTGGGGCTTTCTCCAATTCTGTCTCAATCATTATGTTTATATTTTCAAGAGCTTTCGCTAACTTATCTGTTATTACTTGCCTAATTTTTTTTTTGGCTTTTCTGCAAAACTTATTAACTTTGTTAGCGATTTTTTTGAGTTTATAAGAGAGGCTCTGGTCTACTTTTGGTTTTTTTTCTGCTATGGGTCTTGTTTTGGAAGTGTTTTGTTGGCTCCTTTTCTTATCGCAGTTTCGATAATGTTCTACTCTTTGTTTAGAGCATCTTAACTTTTTTCCTCTCTTAAGATGCTAGCTAATTTTTCTAAACTTTCTACCCATTTTAATTTTTGTTTTTTGCGCAAAGTTCTCCCAATCATCTGGTTTGA